ATGGTATATTAAACTATTGCAAATTCCATCTTTACAACTCTATATGCTTCAGCCAATAAATCTAAACGTAAAGCGTCTAATAATTCAACTTCGCTTAAATAAATATTCTGTGTTTATTAATAATAAATATATCGACCTAACAAGAAATTACAGTATTGCCCTTTATGCAAATCTGAAGAATTTTCATTACTCCACTTAATTCAAAGCTGTAAAGAACTCTCAAAACTACGTAATTACTATAAAATACCCCAAATATGTCAGACCAATTCAGAACTGGAGTTTAAATCAAGTCTAAAAAATCTTAATAAAACGGATCTATATAAAATTTACAATTATTTTGTAAAAGTTTCAGAACGATACTATTTGTCAAATCAAAATTAATGTCTGTACAATCATCCGTTGTCGTGGTAAAGCAGATGATTCACTACATCTGTAAATATAATTGATGTCTAAACAAAAATAAGATTGATTTGTAGTGTATATTTGAAATTTTAAATTTACTATTTCTAATTGTATTTCTTCAAAAAATTTATAAAATTCCCCCTGAACAGAGAAATTGTTCTCTATTGTTAAAACTAACTAACACTGTATTAAACTGAATGATGTATATATGCGTATAATAAAGCATGATGATGATGATGATGATTATTCTTTTTTGTACATTGGAAATAAATGATTTTGCAATGCATTAACCTTGATGTAATATATGAAGTATTAATTTTTAAAAATTCAGATTACATGAGTATTTTTATACTGTGTTTTATACAGAAACAGTTTAAATAACTATTATAATCAATTACCTTTTCTTTTCCATATGAAATACTTTTAAATGCTTTATATGGTTCTTTTGTTATTTCTTTTATGGCATCAGTTCCATAATCTACAGGCTTTTTTTTCTTTTCTTTTTGTGAACTTTTAATTCTATTAAGAAATTCTTCAGGTGAAGTTCTAAAAGTTAAAATATCTATTAAATAATTTTGGTTTTTGATTTACTAAACTTTAAAAGTAAATTTTAATAAATTCT